GGTTTTCACCCTTTCAACTGATCCAAGTATCCCCCCGGTGGAGCCGGGTCCTTCGTTGGATTGCTCAGTTGATTTCGACATTCCGAAATGGGTATGAGTTAATCAGGAAACATATCAACATTTATAGACCCCAATGACACTTGACATCTCCTCAACACGACGTACTCAATAATAATTATCGTATTGTTCCTATAATCCCTCAATTAATTATCAGTGTCACTGCCATACAAGCTCCTGTAAAAACATAAATCGACGAACCAGTCCTAGGTTGTGATTTTTACTGTGGAGCTTATTTACGCATGACCGCACACAGTGACCCATTTACCGGTTAGAATGTGTCGGCAGCTTTGGTGTAAATAATATGCCATTCAAATTGTTTACGGGCTCGCAGTGAGTACTAATTGTTGTTAATCTACATTGATGAAGTCTGTTTCTTTATTTGAACAAAGTGTTTTTACAGTCAAACACATTTTAATACAATAAGTTTAATCGAAGTAATTATGACCGAGCGTAAGCTGCTCTATGAGAACGATGTTTACCGTAGCACTGCGTCTAATATGTATCAAATAATTAAAGAATATATGATCGACTTGTGAATCTTAAGAAACTTCGAGGTAAGCGATATTTTTATGTAGGATTTACGTTGTTGGGACCGATATTTCACTTCGAGATATCCAAGTTATTCGAGTTTTCAGAGTTCGAACTATCAGAGTTTTTATTACTAAGATTAAGAACAGTTTAGGCCGGGACCCATGAAACACTTCGAGTTAAACGGGGTCTTCGAGTTAAACGAGTTCGAGATAACGGGGTTCGACTGTATCAGAAAAGTATTCTATTAATGAATTAAAATATTTAAGAAAATTATAAAGCAGTCCTTTTCTGACCAGTGTCAAATCTCTGAATTTGTACAAGAGACTCCTATTTAATAATGATATTTCAAGAGTTTCCATGATTCCTCTTTTAAAATCATTCAAATAATTTATGTTTTAGGTTTTTATACGCAAAATTGTTTCACAGGTCGCCTGAAATGAAGTTCAGATAGTTCTGTATTTAGTATTTCATTTGCTAAATTATTTGTAATGCTAGAGTGTCCCTGCAATGCTGTAAAGCCATCTTCTGAAAAAATCTGCGGTTATTTAAATGATTGTTTCTTGAGCATGTTCAATTCACAATACACCATGATTCTTCAATATTTACACAGATCCAGCATTTTCCGCAAGATTCAGTAATTTCCGTGGAGATTCTGCATTTTCCACGAAGATTCAGCATTTTCCGCGGAGATGAAGCACTCTCTGTGGAAATTCATTGACAATCTCTGCCGAAATACATTGGCAACCTCCGGGGAGGTCAACCTGTAATTTCCACGGAGTTCAGTTAACTCCGTGGAAGTTTGGCAGCATTCTCTATGGAGAAATCCCTAGTCTTTTGTTTTTTCTCTGCGGAATCTACACGGAATATCATTCCCAATACTCCATGGAGCAAATTTCCATGGAAAATGCGTAGCGAAATCCATGAAGATTTTGGTCATGAAGCTACTAGTGCCATCGTTACTGATCGCCCGCATTCCTCAGCCTCCAGTGCCAATGGTATCATTATCATCATGTACTTACACAGCAGAGCAGCTGCTTTTGATGAGGCCAAGGAAGAGAAAAGGGGCAAGTCCTCACACGGCGGCGCAAGTGTATTTTGGGAGTCTTTTGAAGGACTCTGCTAAAAATGTACGTCTCTGGAGTAAAGCACCATGTCTTTGTGACATCAGTGAAAAGCAAAGAACATTATTCATGAAAGGAATTGTCAGAGGTGCTCCTGTTCTGGACAATCCACAACATTTAGAGGAGGTGTGGAGCAGGCTTGGACAGTCATTCGAAAACCGCAGAAAATATCTTCAAGATATAGCCTCCGGAAAGAACACGCTAAAAATATCCAGAATTCCACATGCCTCAAAATCAAATGACCAGCGTCAACCATGTCAACCAAATGCAAGTCCATCAGAAGTTGTAAGTCTATTAGCAAAGAACAAACGAGATGTGATATGCAAAGCACTGTATATGTACATAACCAAGAAAGACGAAATTTTCTCCGAAGTGGCCCTGACCGACCTTTATTTGCAAAATGCAACGGAGGAGGATGTTGAACTACCTAAACCCTTTTTGTATGAGAACATTCTAACTCAAAAACTGTTGAGAAAGAAAATAGTGTGGAGAACTGAACGCGTAGGAAAATGGGCTGCTGGTTCGAATTCACAAATTATTTCAGCTCAGAAAACAAACTGTAATCAGGAACTGTCAGTGTCGCAACAAATATCACAGAAAAGTAAGAGTTCTTCAACTGTTACGTCGCCTACAACGTTAACTAGACTACAGACTCAAGGGTTCAGTTCAATTTTACCAATAATCAGGACATTGATTGGTGAACTTTTTCTTTAATGCAGGAAGTGTAAAACATTTTTGTACATTAATATAATACATGAAGTTTATTTTCTAGGAGCAGGCGCTTTCAGGGCATATGAAGTGTGGCTGCAGAAGCATCCCTAGAAATGCCAACTCTTGTGAGAACATCTAACATGAGGAAATACATGGCTACCATGTTGCAGGTAGGTAATTCTGTGTTTGTTCAGCTTAAAGCAACTTGAATTATTAAAACAAGTTTTATTTTTTAAATGTAAAACCAGTTTCTCAAAAATAAACTTGAAAGAATTTTTTGGCCAGTGGTCAATATATATACAAGACACCACAATTGATTTGTATATCCAGACCTGGGTAATTAATTTCATTTAACATATTCAGTAAACCTTTAAAGTTTAAAAGGTGCTAATATGCATGGCAATTTTTAGTATGCATTATGATAGAAAATAAGATTATTAGCACATGCATGCTTTACAAGTGTACCCAGGTCTGTATCCATATAAAATCTGGAGTATTAATCATGCTTAGTCATGATTTTGGTGTGGTTTTTTTTAATTTTTGTTTGCATACAACGAGGGGTTGCAGTTTGTTTTGTTAGATTTTTCTTGCCTGGTTGATATGAACCATTGTATTTGCCCAAATGATGTAAATCTTTGAATATCTTGTACTGTATCTCAAATATTCAATACCAGGAATTAATTCATGAAAGTTATTTTCCAGGCTCTCAATACTACTGAAGCAGACAGACAGTGGGTCTTGGATCATTTAGGGCACACAATGGAAGTACACAAAATTCATTCCCGGATGACGTCAGACATTCTGGAAAGGGTGGATGTCGCAAAGATTCTGTTGATACAAGATATGGGTTTGGTCGGACAATTTAAGGGAAAAAGACTTGAGGACATTCAGTTAAATGGTGAGTAATTATTGAATTTGTAATGACAGACTAATATTAAAAGAAGTTGAAGAAAAAATAAGTTTAGTCATCACAAAATTATTGGAATGAATAAAGCAGACAATAATGTATAAAATAAGTCATGCATTGGTCTTCTGCTAAATAACTGATTAAAAGATTTTTGTGATGTTAACCTCTTATGAAACAAGAGGCCCATGGGCCTTAACGGTCACCTGATATATTTATACAGAGAGTTTATTTTGTTTTTAACATGAACAGAAATATTATTCAAAGTGACAAAAAACAATAAAACCACCTTACTCAATATCTAGCATACAGATTTCAGACTAAAAAGGATTTGAAACTAGCACCTCTGATTCTTAACATGTAAAATGAAGAAATTTTAGCACACTGACTCCTTTGAGCCCCTCCCTACAGCCCTTGGGGGTAGGGCTGGCTCAAAATTTTCAAAGTATCAAACTGTCAATTCAAGGTTATACTTCCAATCAAGTTATTAACATGTAATATTCAAAGTATCATTTGCCATTATAAACCATAATAAATTTTGCCCCCCCCCCCCCTCCTTCCCCAGGGGTTAAACGTGAGACCCTAGGGTCATAAACCTTAACCCTTAGGCTGCTACGCACGGCATATGCCGTTTCTCGGTCTGTAGGTTTTGATCGGTAGCCAGGAAGTGTGAAGTCGGGTTGTTGCTATACCTAACCCGAACGTGTATAGTAGAAGGCTTCTGATTGGTTGTTTTGTCATTACTTTCGATATTCACGGCAGTGTACGCTAGTAATAACCAAAGGTGTGCGAGAGAATTTCAAATCGAAAAAAACATCATAAAAATGGCGGACGTGTAGATTGAAGCGATGAATATGATGGTAAACATTTATTCTCCATCGTCACCTACGATGATAATAAAGGTTTTGAAGGGTTTGACTTGGTTGATGTGGAAATACTTCGGTGTAACATAATATGTTACTTTCCAATAAACGGCTTTGTGCCCTACGCAAACAGGAAAATATCGGCGGACCGAGGCGCACATGTCGTCTGCAGGTGAGGCCGAATTGAACATTGACATTGATACGTTTTGAGCCGATTTATTTCTTCAAACTTTTTATCGGTGATTTAATCATAATCTAGACCGTAGCTAAAATATATCTATATGCCGACTGTGACAGTTAATGTATTGAATGGCGACCTGAAACCGGTAGAAAATCACATGCAATTCTTTACCAAATACCTGACCTTTTTACCTGAGAATCGCCGTGTGAATTACAGCGTCTTATGTCAAAAATGAAGTTTATAATCTCTGTTATCATTTGCCAATCCCATTTGCGGACAGAAATAATTTTAAAATTATCTTTCTCTTGCTTAAATCCCATTAATTAAAAGTCTAACATTTTCTTACCTTTATTACCACCTGTACAGGTAAATACCGAAGCAACTTTAGAATTGAAAACGTCAATATAAACTAGAGACAACAACGAACAATTTTCATACAACTTTTTTTCACATATAACAAATATTTTCCAAGTTATGCACATTTGAAAAATCAAGTAAATTAATTTAAATTTCAATAATTAATTCAGCAGTGGTGTCCCTTTACATAGAAATCAATGTAGCAGCCTAAGGGTTAAGACCCTTCCATCTATGAAGAGTATTTGATTCTACCATATCTGGGTCTTGAGAAGAAGATTTTTGAAATTTCAGTAAATTCTACCCTTTTTGGCCCCACCCATCAGCCCCTGGGGGTCAGTCAGGGCTGATATGTGCTTATTATCAAACTGCTACCTAATACTGATAATNTTTGTCTCAGGTGACCTAAAAAAAAACATATAATTTTTACATATTTTAGATTTCAGTTTCTTTGACAATGAATTAAGTTAGTCTGGAGACAAATTCAACGTGTTCATGTATTTTTTCCAAAATATTTTTTTTCAATAATTTTTTCCATCAGACACCTGGGGAGTCAGACCCATGGTTTATACAAAATTCGCTCCCCCTTACCCAACGATGCTTCAGACCAAATATGGAACAAATCCTTTCATTCCTAAAGAAGAAGAAGGATTTTAAAGAATAATTTGCTATGTTTCCCCTATTGGGCTCTGCCCATCAGGCACCGGGGGGGGGGCCAGATCCACGGTTTATACAAAATTGGTTCCCTTTCACCCAAGGATGCTTCAGACCAAATATGGAACAAATCCTTTCATTCCTACAGAAGAAGAAGGATTTTAAAGAATTTGCTACATTTCCCCTATTAGGCCCCGCCCCACAGCCCCCAGGGGGGCCAGACCCACCATTTATACCAACTTTGTTCCCCTTCCCCCAAGGATGCTTCTGACCAAATATGGAACAAATCCTTTCATTTCTACAGAAGAAGAAGGATTTTAAAGATTTTGCTACATTTCCCCTATTAGGCCCCGCCCCTCAGTCCCCAGGGGGGCCAGACCCACCATTTAAACAAACTTTGTTCCCCTTCCTCCAAGGATGCTTCTGACCAAATATGGAACAAATCCTTTCATTTCTACAGAAGAAGAAGGATTTTAAAGAAGAATTTGCTATATTTCCCCTATTTGGCCCCGCCCCTCAGGCCCCTGGGGGGCCAGAACCACCATTTATACCAAATTGGTTCTTCTTCACCCAAGGATGCTCCACACCAAATTTTGTTAAAATCCGCTCAGTGGTTCATGACAAGTAGTGTAAAGTTGACGGACGACGTACAACGGACGCTGCGGTATGGCATAAGCTCACCTTGGGCCTTCGGACCAGGTGAGCTAAAAACTCAAACAAAACAAACCTTGTTACAAGGTTTTGAGTATGAAGATTAGAAGTTCAAACAAAGTCTCAACATTCAAAAATAAAACAATTAACAAACACGGTCGCATATCTTTGGCATTAAAGACACCAATAGCCTTTGTGATGTGTCCGTGGATTGTCGAGTTGTGTGAAAGCTTGTTTTTCGCCGAAAAGGCACGATTTATTCGTAATTGACCACTTTCTGAAGGGGGCCGACTAGTGGTAGACTCCTTAGATTTCAAAGATATCCCATGTTTCCTCGATAGGTGTGCTGACATGGAAGATGTTGATCCCCTAGAATATTTTAACTGTGTCTTACACATTTTGCAGACAGGGGTGCGTGTTTGTACACTCATTTGTACACTCATTATGGGGTTGTATCTAACTTGTATACTTTAAATGATGGTCCAGTCATTGTGGGGTGGGTGTCCGTACACGTAGCACGTGGAGAGGCGGAAGCGTTCGCCACGGAGCAACAGGAACGACTGCGAGACGCATTTGAATCTGATGGGAACAGTGGAATAGTTTAGTTTGCCTTGGAACACCATGTTGATTCCGATGACCTCAAACCACGGAGAGAAAAAACAACAACGAAACTTCAGGAGTTTGAAGATGAAATGCGTGGTACTTCACAGTCGGAGAACGAAAGTGCCAGCACTCGAGATCAGTCTTCTGCTAGCCAAGCAATTACCAGCATTGAAGCAAAGACGAAAAAAAACAAAGAGAAAGGACAGCCCAAGAAACCATCCAAGGCAACAATCAGGAAACAGAAGTCAGTGGAATGTCAGAAACTCCAAACAATTGAATACTTCAAGAAGAAGAAAGCAATAGTGGTTGGTTTTCTGTAATCTATGTTCAATCAACTCTTATGGTCTATCTAAGTGTACATTCTAGTAGTGTTTCCTTAAGTACCTCAGAGTTGCTCGGTATCAACCATCTGTCTCTTTATTTTGTCAGAACATGCCAAACAGAGAACATTTTAAGGTTGGCCTTATGGCTGCATATTCAATGCTATTCAATGGAGCAAAAATATCAAACATGTTAAGTTGCCATGCCGGTTAACTTCCATTTAATACACACATAATTACTGTATTTATGATATCACATTTGTTCACACAAAAACTGTGTTATAACATGTCATTATTTAATGTCATTTTTCTAATTTTTACTTTATTACTATTCTAGATCTCTCTTTGTTACGACAATTAAAAATGCTCGTTGAGCAATTGGAGACGGAAAAAACCACACTAGTAGGCAGAATCTAGAGCACCTGCAGGATCAGTCTCCATTTGCCGATAAACTACGCCAACCTCTCCCATCATTCTCCCACTCCGAGTCCCCAATGATGAGAAATTGTCAATGACTAAATTGAAAGTTGTTGACAAGGGAGTTTAAAGACATTTAAACGTACCAACTCCAAATACCAGTACTGCCTCTACTGCATAAATTTCATGAAATGTGTAATTTAGGAGCAATTGTAAATAGAGCTGACAGTTACCTAATATATGCAGGAAGATATCATTTTAATCAATGTGGTAAATTATCCCATTTCAGGTGTTGTTATCAGATGGCCATCAAATTTACGTCAATGAAACAAAGCTGGCACTGAAAAGTGAGAGTCGAAGGACTTGGTCCCTGCTGGACTACTTCTTGGCGCCAAAGTATCTGGCTGTTCATAGCGCAACAGGGGGAAAATCGACCAAACCCGCCCTGCCAGGCAAAATTATTCTGGCAATAAAAGGTAATGCATTTGGTGGGAAACTTTCATCTAACATTTATTAATTAATTATCGGTGAAACTGGTGTCGTCAGGTTAAATCAAAGTAGAGTGTGAACATTTAAACATGTAAAAGAGATTTGGGAATACCCATAAAGTGTTTTTAGAACACATTATATCCTTTCTTGTTTAGTACTTTGTTTTTAGAACACATTATATCCTTTCTTGTTTAGTACATTGTTTTTCTTTAATCTGTGATTTTCTACAATGCACACACTCGTTAGTCAATATGAATTTACACTGTATGATTTTTATTTACCTGTTACAGTGTTTCAGGACATAAGATGCATCCTTGAATACCATCATCAACAGAAAATGTCTGGACAGCAAAAGATACATTTGAATGGAAAAAGACATTTCCGAAGATGGAGTCCATGCAGTCAAATTTTAAAATCATATATAAAATATTTGAATGACATGGATATTGTTTTTTAGTTCTTTTTTTTCTATCTAGCTTATATGCTTCCAAAAGCTCATGTGCTTTATATGAGTTTTCAAAAGCTCATGTGCTTTATATGAGTTTTCAAAAGCTCATGTGCTTTATATGAGTTTTCAAAAGCTCCCATGGTCTTGATCTCTATCATGAAACCATGCAAAGCTCATGTGAGCCATGTGAGCTGTGAGCCATGTGAGCAGTCACCTCATTTGCTATTACAAGGTTCGTTTCTCATGTGAAACTCATGCGCAGCACATGTGCTCTTGGGTAGCTGATTTTGGTATGGGTATCTGTCAGAAAGGAAGTAGATCAGATGGCATTGGATCTGATGCCGCTACACATCCCAGGTGAAACAGTTTTCCCCGTGAAAATATATGGAGACGGGAATTGCTTGCGGAGGACAGGAAGTATATTCGTGTATGGTTCAGAACAAAACTTCAACTTAAAACTTCACTTATTGCACGTAGAAGAAGTTTTAGCGCGTCTGAACAAAGCCAACGTACACCTACAGAAGGGAAAGTGCAAGTTTCTATAAGATGAAGTCTTGTATTTAGGTCATCGCATTAACCGTGACAGTATTCAGCCCATTGACGAAAAGATCCGTGCAATTAAAGAATCTCCTGCACCCACTAATGTCAAGGAGCTTCAAGCTTTTTTGGGATGATAAACTATTATGGCTATTATGATGCAAAAAAATGCAGAGTGGATATGGAAGGAGAGACAGAAGAAAGCATGGAATCAGGCCAAAGATTTGTTGCAATCTTCACAACTACTCGTACACTACAATCCACACAAAGATTTGGTGCTATCGTGCGATGCTTCGCCATATGGAGTAGGTGCTGTGTTATCGCATCATGGAGGATGGTCAGGAAAGAACTCTAGCGGTTGCCAAGAAAAACTACTCACAACTCGAGAAAGAAGGTCTAGCTGTCATATTCGGCATTAAGAAGTTTCATCAGTATTTGTATGGAAGGCGATTCACCATTTTCAGACCACAAACCACTGCTGGGTTTGCTTCGGGCCGATAAAGCTATTCCTACAATGGCTTCTCCTTGCGTTCAACGTTGGGTGATTCTCTTATCAGCATACGAGTATGACCTCATCTACAGGAAAGCAAATCCTGAGTCGAGACCAGAACAGTCTGCAAATAAATCAGACTATGCCCGTCCACAACGCACCAGGAAGCCACCATCATATTATACTTAAGCTTTAAGCATATGGACTTGGTTCGTACTTAATCATAATGGTGTTTTATTCCTGAGAACATTGCGAAGTGATTTATTAAACATGTAATTAGGACTGGATAAGGGTACGAAATACCATAGGACTTGTTAAGGAATGTGTTTCAGTATTAAGTAAAACTAGTCAATTATTTCAGTATTACATTACTGTAATTTAGTTAGTTACCATAGTTACATATAAGTTCTTGTTTAAACAAAAAAAATGTCTCCACTTAAAAGGGAAGGAATGTAATGTATGCAACCATTCCGGATAAACCCGTTTCTGGTTTTATACACATACTATTATGGGATATATAAATACCACATGTTGAGCCAATGCACCTAGCAAAGTTATCAGATGGACACCAGACATACACAGGAAATAAAGAGGACAATCATATACGCACAGTACTCTGACAATTACGAACCAGGAACACGAATAACACAGAATACCTGGAAAACCTGTTACGAGAAAGAAGTTCTAGGCATATGTAAAAATGGCAGTTACATGGGGATATGGCAAATTCATGCCTTGGCAAGTGTGCTGATATGCCAAATACACTCATTATATCCACAATATACACAGCACAAAAACATCTCCACAGGAGAATACTTCCACCAAGACAGTATGGAACCTGCAAGTGACATCGTAATAATGTGGACAAATCTAAGAAGAACATCTGTAGAAGAGGTTCTTTGGTCACCCAACCAGTTTGTGGCTTGATTGCCAGTGGATGTACCAACAGCAGATGCCAGTGTTGAGGTAAACATATTTGTAACAATTAGTGTGATCGTCAACTGTCAGAAGTTTGTATTAATATTAAAACCTTTAATGATTATGAGTCGTAACTGACGTAAGGAAAATGTAATATTGTATTGCTTTTCCTTTCAGAATTTAAATGACGGTAAAGTAAAATGCAGTCTAATTAAAATCATACCCTGCCATCGCCCCTCTGCAAAACACTGGAACAAAGAGGGTCACATCCATGTGACCTTTCAATTATCCAATCAAATAGCGAATTCCGAAAGTCATCTGGACCTGGCCCCCATATTGCATTAACTCAGATTGTGCCAGTGTATCTGTCAACCCCCCGGGACGAGGTCATCACAGTTCATAGTTACATAGACTACACTGCCCACCTGTCACTCCCCAGGGACGAGGACATAACACGGTCCACCATGGAGTCCACTGCGCATCTGTCACCCCCTTCGGGTTTTCATTACGGAGAATCCCTCTCATCCATCGCAAGCTTGGATGAGGGGGGGAATTATCAACAGAATGTGTGTCAATCGTCACATCCCTTACATTACATCCGTTACGTTGTCCATTGTATGTCTGTTATATACCATAAAAACCCATGTAATTTGCGCACTTTTTTTCCAGAAATTTAATACCCAAAGTGGGGGGGTGCGTAAAATACACAGGTATAAGCAATTTCAAGTTTTTTTCATGAAAAGATCGATGATTCTGGCAGACCGCCATCCTGAATACGAGATAATCTCCCTTGGTACACGGAACTCGAAGACAAACGACGATCAACACATTTATTTATGTCAAACATCAATAAAAGATACAATTAATACAAACTGTGTTGTTACCTGAGTTTATGTGAAAAGCATTATTAAATAGGTAACCGTTAACAAAGAAAGTTTAGCCAAATTCCTATGCCAGAGAATCGGCGATCAACTTACGTTTCGACATCTCGGTGCGTTTTCCCCATACTATTACGAAAATGTAGTTGTTCAATTTAAGCTCCGTTCCATGTAAGTTCTGTTAGGGGTTTTTTTAATCGCCAATGCGTACAGCATGGGTTTTTTCCCGGCTCACTTTCATGTTGATCTCGCGTCTAACATTACGTAAACACGTGATTGATAATAACCTCGCGAATTATTTCAATAGTTATTAAATGAAGCATCGTAAAAAACTTGGAGTAGATTTGAAGAGGATGTATTTGATTGTCCACGCTTCAAGTATAAACATAATTTTTTATAATCCCTTATTGGTCAAATCAGTCTGTAGTCTGTAGACATTTATGGGGAATTTTCAGCCTCAAAAAGTACCTGCACAAATGACACAGGTTTTTACGGTATTTGTGATAAATATAGTTATTACTGACTTATTGTGTATCTTTTTACTGTCTGGTTACATATGAATGATAAACTCATTTAAGTTTAGTTTCAGTTGATGGAGGATTTTTTTTATGCAGTGACGGAACTTTTATTCGCATAGGTGGGTAGGCTGCTACATTGATTTCTATGTAAAGGGACACCACTGCTGAATTAATTATTGAAATTTAAATTGATTTACTTGATTTTTCAAATGTGCATAACTTGGAAAATATTTGTTATATGTGAAAAAACGTATGAAAATTGTTCGTTGTTGTCTCAAGTTTATATGAACGTTTTCAATTCTAAAGTTGCTTCAGTATTTACCTGTACAGGTGGTAATAAAGGTAAGAAAATGTGAAACTTTTAATTAATCGGATTTAAGCTAGAGGAAGATCATTTTGAAATTATTTTCGTACGCAAATGTGATTGGCAAATGATAACAGAGATTGTAAACTTCATTTTTGACATAAGACGCTGTATATTTTCACGGAGATTCTCAGGTAAAAAGGTCAGGTATTTCGTCAAGAATTGCATGTGATTTGCTACAGGTTTCAGGTCGCCATTAAATACATTTACTGTCACAGTCGGCATATAGATATATCTTGGCTACAGTCTAGTTTATGATTTAATCACGGATAAAAAGTTTGAAGAACTATGTTCAATTCGGCCTCACCTGCAGACGACATATGCGCCTCGGTCCTCCGATATTTTCCTGTTTGCGTAGGGCACAAATCCGTTTATGTGAAAGTTACTTATTATGTTACACCGAAGTATTTCCACATCAACCAAGCCAAACCCTTCAAAACCTTTATTATCATCGTAGGTGACGATGGAGAATAAATGTTTACCATCATATTCATCGCTCCAATCTACACTTCCGCCACTTTTATGACTTTTTTTTCAATTTGAAATTCTCTCGCACACCTTTGGTTATTACTAGGGTACACTGCCATGAATATCAAAAGTAATGACAAAACAACCAATCAGAAGCCTTCTTCTATACACGTTCGGGTTGGTATAGCAACAACCCGACTTCACACTTCCTGGCTACCGATCAAAACCTACAGACCAAGAAACGACATATGTCGTGCATAGCACTGACGGCCCGACTTTTCAAAACGACATATGTCGCGCGAAGCAGCCTAAGGGTTAAGACTATGTCAATTGTTAGTATTTCGTATATAAGTCAGACAACAGAATATTATCTATGCAATAGATATGGTTTGTGTTGTGCATCACAAATTTAACTCCCAGATAGGTTCATTGAACTATATTGGCAGATATTCAACTTATTATCTTTTTGACAAATCACGTCCGTTACAGCATCAATCATGTCATTTTAATCAAATATTTCTCTTTTTGGTGCATAAATTATCTTTAAAACTATAGAGTATGAAACCTGAATAACTAATACTATATTTAAAAACATATAATTTCATCCAAGTAAGCCATTTTAATAACGTTGAATTTTTTTTAAAACTCTACACCGTAGTGTGTTTGCTCTCATATACAGAAGTTTACAGACAGTGACATATCGGATTTGTTCAAAAGCTTCAGGGATAGGTTTCTAGCCAGGCAAATGATCAACTCAAACACGACTCCACCCAACAGTGTGCCTGATCCTGATCAACAGCCAGTTGAAGCTGATCATACAGAGGACGATCAGCTGGAAAGTA